TATCTTATTTCTTTATTTTTATATATCCTGTTTGCCCAACACTGGGTTATAAACACAAGCCTATGAGCACAGAGATGCTTATCTTTTTCTAATCTATGTTCCCAGTACCTAGAACAGAGCTTGGCATATGGTAGGTGCTCAATAAATACCTGTTGAATGAGTAGATGAATTAATCTATTTCAGCATCATTTATAGGAAGTTGTAAATAATATATAGAATCTCATGAACCCTTCACCCAGCCTCTCCTAATGTCGATCTCTTATCTAACTGTAGCATAATACTGAAGCCAGGACATTGATAAAGGGAACTTTTCAAAGTGAAAATGGAATCATGTCACCTTCCCGCTGGCTTTCCACTTCACTTAGAATACAACCTCATGTTGGGACCAGCAGATGGCAAAATGGTTACATTGCTGAATGCCCATGTAGTAGACTGTGGTTCAAGTCCTAGATCTGGTGACTTAAGCTTATGCTGGGTGCGTGTGTGTGTGTGTGTGTGTGCATGCCCAAGATCCTGAGAAGAGAATGGAGGAGAAGGAATTGTGGTGTGGCCATCTTCCCTGGGGAGTGATTTCTTACTTCTTGTCTATCTGTTGAGCACATACACCCTATAACAAAAATCTCTCTAAAAGCAAACAAACAAAAAACCTCATATCTTCCAAGGTCCCTCATAATATGACTCTAACTCCTCACCACCTCCTGACCCTCTTCTTAACTGTCCCAGCCCCACCAGCTTCTTTCTTACCAGCCCTTCAAAGAGATTGTGTGGTCATGCATGTACCTTAGTCTCTGGATATGCTTTTCCCTCTTCTTGGAATTCCCTAGGGTTGACTCCTTACTATAATTCAAGTCTTCATTTCTCAGCTTAAAAGCCACCTCTTCAGAGAGGCTTTTGCTAACTCCCATATTTCATTCCTCTGCACCTTTGTATCTTTCTTTCTTCATAGTGTTCATCAAAATTTAGTCTTACATATTAGATTCGCTTACTTGGCAATTATTTGACTCTTCCAGACTTGACTGTAAGCTCCAAAGATGTCAGAGATTTTACTTACCTCAGTATGATCAGAAATTTGATTTCTAAAACTCAGGCTTACATAAATGTAGAACAAATTTGTACTTAGACATTTAATAGCCAATTAACTATATCAAATGTATACAGTTAATTAGCCTTTTCTATACATGACCAGGTCAGTGCTTGTCGCCATCCTATGAAATGAGATTATCTGCAGCCCAACTTTACAGTCTAATTGATAATTGTAATCTTCATTGATCACTGTAGTCAGCGATTATAATGCCACATGTTGCTTTTCCTTGGCCAGACTCTAATTCCAGCCACAGCTTGAAAGATCATTCAGTTCATTTTGATAATCACTTCCCTCATGCATGTACCTTCCAGGCTCCTCCTTTATCCTTCCTCGAGGCCCACCCAAGAATAAAGGAGGTGAAGGTACTGATAGGACTTATGGCAGTCCTTCTTCCTTCAAATCTCTGACTGATAGATAGATAGGACTTCAGGATTATTTTTCTGAAGTGCTAGGACCCTGCTCCGTCTACAGGGAAATGCAAACTGGAAATGTGGAAGAGTCACCATCCCTGTAGGTCACTCTCAACCAATGGGGGCTCAGGTTACTAGAGAGACACTTCAGCTATTGCTCCATGATGGAAAATTGCTGGAGCTCTTCTGAACTCTACTTGCAGATTCTGATGAAACTGAGGTCCTACTGTCTTCACTAGCTATATAACAGGCACACCCTTTTATTTACTTTTCCTCCTGCCCCATCTCATTCTCCCCACTGCCTCACTTGTACTTTCTGAGATTGCCTCTTAGACAAATTGACTGCACCCAGCCCTTGTCATCCCAAGCGCTGATTTCACCGGAACCCAAACTCAGAGTGCCTGCTATGTGCCAGAAGCTGTTCTAACTGATTTCCTTTACATGGCTGACCTTGTTCATTTTGATATCTATCCGATGAAGCAAATATTACTGTTATCTCCATTGTAGAGTTGGGGTACCTGAAATAACAGGAAGCTAAATATCTTGTCAAATACATTTATTGACTTGCCTGCCAGTGGTTGAAGGTGGTTCCTGGAATGTTAACTCTCCTTCATTTCTAGGCTGCACTTGCCTATTGGCTGTGGCTTCAGAAAAGTCCCAGGGCTTTGAAGAAGATATTGAGGACTAAAGAGGAGTCAAGTAAATGGTTGTGCGGGGAATCTAACTCGGATAGTCTTATTTCCGAACTCACCCTTTTTATTGGTATGCTTTACTTCTTTCCAAAAAATCAAAGGCAAATGCTTAGAAAGGCAAAGTCATAACCCAAATGCAGCTAGTGAGCAGTGAAGCTGAGATTCCAAATTGGATGTATTGGATACATAGACCCAGGCTCATCTGGTACACTGATTACTCCTTTTTAATGAAAGGCCAGATCTACTGTTCTTTTCTTGAAGTGAGAAGGAATAAATCCAGTTTAGTGAAATCCCTGTTGGATTACCTCAACTCTTTACTGCAAATCTGCAGCAGACTGTGGAAACATGTTTCTGTCTCAACTAGGGCTGGTAGTATTTTCCATTTATCAGTGCCCCCCATGAACGTTGGAATGGCTAAGGCTGGTAAAAGTCACTGATCTGAGAACTTCTCTGCTTTAGAATGTTTATGACATTCATGAAGCAGAGGCTACCTTTTCTTCCCGGAAGTGCTGAAAGCAGTCAAATCCAGCCACTATTCCAGGAAATGAGCGTGGGGAGAGGAGAACTCATGCCACTCCCCCTGCCCCCAGCCCTCTGCCCTATAGATAGTGAAATAATTTATTTTCTTTCTTTTCTTCTGTTTTTGTTTTGTTTTAATTGAAGAGCTATTTATTCCAGAGTGGGGCAGAGAAATAAACTGCACTTAGGTATGCTGAAGGCAACCAACTCTGGAAATAACCTGCCCTTTGTCTCAACCATCATTGATCCGCTTTCTCTCCCAAAGCGAAGGAAAGGACTTTGCTTTGATATTCTGTTGTCAGCCTTTAGATCGGACCTATCAAAGAAAAAAACAATTATGTTCATTCCTCTTTGTGATATTTCATTGTCTAAGTTCATGTAGCAGGAAGGAAGATTGAAGACTATCAACACACCTAGACAGTTTTTTCACAAGCTATTGCCTGTCTCCCAAGCCTTTCCAGCTCCCAAAGACAATTATTTGCTCACCATTGTCTGGGAAGAAGTCATTCCTCCCCAACCCCAATTCACTCTGAAATCTGTGGGACCTAAACACGTACTACTGGGGAAAACTTTGATTTGTGTATCTAGCTCAAATAAATATACTTTTCTTGAGAGAAATTTTTGCTATAGAGTGCATGCACTTGCTGGAGAGACACAGAAAGAAAGTGAGAAATCACTCCCTGGGGGGATTGCCACGCTGTAATCCTGTTTCCTCCATTCTCCTCTTACATGCACACACATACACACCTGGCTAATACAAATTTTGGGCACACACACCCATCATTATTTTCAAGCCACCAGGTCTGGGACTGAAAACATGGTCGACCATGTGGGAGTCCAGTGCCACCTGCTGTCCTCTTCCCTTGAGTTCTTTAGGATAAAGACAGCATTCCTGATGATGGCCTCTAGCCATTGTTGCCCATGCCTCCATCAGCAGCCACAGCCCTTGCATGGCTCCTGTGCTTAGTATGCTATGGAAGTCCTCCGTATCCATCCTGTCTCCAACCATCTAAGAGCTTTACCAGCCTGTTTTCTGCCTGGGACATGCTTCCTCCCATCCTGTCTTTGCTAAACACTCAGTGGTAAATGGGTCTGAAGATCCTTGACTTCTCTCTAACTATCACAAATCTCTATGTCAGATGTTCTTGTGGAATCCTGTGCCTCTGTTTGTTGTACACGGCATAACTGAGGTGTGAATATTTTAACGTCTTTTCCCATAATAGAGTATAAGCTTCTTGATATGGGATTTATTTCTGCTTTTGCTCATTGTTATTGACCCAGTGTCTTGCAGAACAATGGTGGCATAAGAGGTCCTAGAATGGTGGAGTGAATGAATGAACAACACTGGGTTCATGAAACAAGGACAGGGTGAGAGATTGGAAAGTCTATTGATGTAACCCTTGTTCTTTCATTGTTAAAGCCAACCAAGATCTGTTGTAATTCTCCATTGTCCAGCCAGCATTATATGCAATAACTTTATTAAGGTCAAATAGATATCACAATACAGATTTATCCAACAGGATCCAGAAAACTGGTTACAGATATCATCTAAGACACAAGGCTACTTTGTGCTAAATTGCTTCCAACAACACAAGTCACGCAAAGAATTTATACACCGATAACAACTTTTATCTGAAAATGCAGATGCTCCGCCTGCCCTTATTGTTGAGCCCTGGTGTTTCAATTAAGTTAAAACAAAGAGGTGAAGATTGGCATTTTCTTAATAATGAATACAGTCTGCAGAAATTTCATGAGAACCCTCTTTAGGATACACAATGGCACATGGAAACCATTTTTAATTTATGGGTTATACTCAAATCAGGATTAGTAATTAATAAGTTGAGCTGTGGCTTGAGAATTTTTAATAACTGGATTGAGAAACATATTAGCTTTTCAAATAAATAGAATTTAAAAGTTTAGCTGCTGGCAGTGAAGGTTCTACAGAATATTCATTATAAAGTAACAGCATGGCAGCATCTTAAATATGGTATCTGTATCTGCATCTCCATTATTCTAAGAAAACACTCCATAAACACTAACAGTTATTGGGCCTTATTATTCATGGTATATAGAATAACAGCCACGAAACACCATAGAAAGTTACAAGAATGTAAATATTTAGCTAAGTAAATAGAATAAATATTGAGCAGTAACTATATGTAACAGTGAATTTCTACTAATAGGCAAAAATAAAAATCCAAACCTTAGTTATAATGCATTCAGATCTTGGATAAAGCCAGAGAGACAAATTTGCAAAATATACAAAGTAACGAATATATTACTTTAAATGCCCATTTAACAAATTTGTGGTGCAAACTGGAAAATTTTCATAAATACAGCTCAAATGTTCATTGTGTGAGAAAATGCTTATTCATGCACTAAATCATATGAGCATCGATTCATCATATAAAAAGAATACAGAGTAACTGTCTGAAATAAATACTTAGGAGACTCATAGTCCTATAGGGCCTAAAACTAAAAATTAATAATACATGCATGTCGTGATACACCAAATTGTCTTCTAGAAATGAATAGAACGTCTTTTGCATCAAAATGCATAGGAAAACTCAATGCTATTTAATTTACTTTATGCATGTTACAGACTAGAGATTTTAAGCTACAAAATGCTTCTGCTATCTCAACACATATACAAAACGACCATAAAAGCATCTGTGTATATAACAAGGTACTCTCCAATTAGCCATCCGTGATGAATAATATATCTCCTCATGTCATTTCATCTCTAAGTACCATTTATCACAACCCAGGCCTTTCTACCTTAATGAGGATTACAGATCTCTGATTTACATTCAACACTTTCTGCATTAATAATTGACTGAAACTCTTAAAAAATTCTTCTGCTACTGAAGGTGGTGAGGCTCTCTCCAGAAGAATGCAAATGCTACTCTGCTAAATCTGATTAGTAAAGGAAGTGGGGCCACTAGGCTGTTGGCCAAACTCATCTGAGGATGGCCCCAAACTCGCTTGCTGGCTATAACCACTGCTTGACCCATAGCTATCTTGGTTGTAACCACCTTGATTATAGCTGCTAGAGTGTTTCTCCATTGGGTCTGAAAGATATCTCTGTCCAGAGGAATGCCAGCCAGTCTCCTTGAAAACAAACCATATGTTTCCAGCCCAGAGGATAAAGTTCAAGAATCCAAAGACCTGAAGGACAACAAAGCAAATGAGTTGATAGACTAAGAAAAAAATCTCAGTTTCACAAAAATCTTTTACAGTATGAAAGATTTACTTCAATGTTGAATTCTCTTATAGTTTTTCATTTGGAGCCGCTAGTTTGTTTAGAATGTCTGACCTTCATAGGATGCTTCCTACATGTCAGGCACTGTATAAAGAGCTTTTATATATATTGATTCACTCAGTCTAAGAATAATTCTAAGAGGAAGATACTGTTATCATACCCATATTAACAATGTGGAAATCTTGCCCAAAGTCAGATAACTTGGTAAATAGTACTTATGGAATTCAGAACCTGTCTTCTCTACCTTCACAGTATGAACTCTTCTCTAAGATGCCACTATCTCCCTCCAATAAGGTATCCTTCCGGGTATGTAAGATTATGTTTATGTGGTACAGGGTTTTATTTTTAATAATAGTGCATTACTTTATAAGATTACCTTCTCTTTATGGTTACAGTTACACTTTGTACTTTATTGTAACGCTATAAAGAAAATAACTCAATTTAAATATGGAGTGAGCAATGGTTTAAGTGGTATACAGCTAAATACAGTTTTGAATCTGAACAGTTGTATTTTTTTGTACCTCTCACATTCAGAAGTGAATGTTAAAACCAGACTACTAATAAAGTGCAGGTTTCAGAGAGGTATGAAATGTTTTCTCAAGAACTGGATGTAAGACATTTCTTGGAAATTAGTGAATCAGAGGACAGGGTATTGCTTCCCTCAGGCCTAAGTGTTTGATGGAAGCAGAACTGTTTGCTATTGTGAGAGGCCTAAATAGGAGTTGTCATTACTTGGTCTGTTCTGCAGCCTTTGCCAAGGCTGGCTGGTTGACTCGGGAATTAACCACAGCATCTCAGCCCCTGTTTCAATAGTTTCCAATGGAGATAACAAATAGTACAATATAAAACTGTGCTTACAATTAAAATGTATTTAGTCACCACTCCATCATGACACTGACCAAACAAAATGGACTTCAGAAGTGGCCTTAACTCTGGAGTAGGGTGCTAAAAGTCTCCTGTTGGGTCAAAATTTATACCTTGGTTTCATAATAGTAGGATGTTCCAGGTTGCCCTGTGTATATGTGGGGTGGAGGAGGGGTGCTGATATACTCAAAGATACCTGACCTTGGGAGCTTGGAGCAGGGATTTTTTTTTTTACCAGTAAATTTCAATATTTTATAATGGAGCAAGTGCTTCAGGACAAGAAAACTGAGGTCAGTCTTGGAGTAATTTAATGGGCTTTGAAATGAGAGTGGCCTAAGCACTATACTTTATTGGTTTATGACCTTGAACAAGGCATTTATTGGATCATCATTTTTGCATAGAAAAATAAGTCATGACTTTGCTGAAAACCTGATAGTTTCTAGACTTCAGTTGTTTTCCCCCTACCATGGAGCAAAGGCAATAATTCTTTCCTTGGGGAACAGTTGAGAAGATTAAAGAGGATGCTTGTAAAGTAGCTAGAAAAACAGGTGGTTATATTCTATTGCATATATAGACAAAAAAAGACAAAATTCTATCTGAAAAGAGAGAATGATAAAACAGACATGAAGAAAGAGATAGAGATGTAGAAAAAAAAAAAAAGATGAGGGATGAGGATAAGCTCTGTTCATTTTCCTAAGTCTTCTAGTTCCTGGCCCCGTGTTCTACCTGGGAAGACGCATTTCTAGTATCCTTGTGATTGTTTCCAGTTTTGAATAAGCTAGCTCAATATGACTTGAAGCCAAACAAGTTTGTAATGAAAAAAAAATGTATACTTTGGCTGATTAATATATTTTTCCCTGTTTGTGGTAATATAAATCTAATTTAATTTGTAATTACCCTCAAATGGCCTGAGCTCTCTTCTGGAACTTTGCATCCTGAGCAGAGTAATGCAAGGTTAGTAAAACTTTCCACTAATGGCAACTGGAAGAAATGATTCTTTGGTGTATGATGTCTGGTACCCTGGTTCTTCTGTATATTTTGCCATTCTGGAGTCTGTTTCTTCAGGTTTCATCAAATTTATGAGCCAGTTGATTTCCTTCCTATGACTTTCTTTTTTCCCCAATGAAGTTAGAGTCAGTTTCTGTTATTTGCAAGCTGAATATTCTAATTCATACAGCTATTTGGTAACAGAAGTGGGATGCATAAAACATACTTTAGGGCTATGAAAATTGTTTTGCATTTGCCAGTTTGAATTGGGTCTGCTGTCAGTAAGAACTGTAAAATTCTTAACTGACATGAGTATATAACCATATCAACACTAGACCAGCCCTTTCATACATAGCACACTATTTGGTTTCAATTCATCCTTCATTTTGGTTTTAGGGGACACATCACATTGTTTTTCATTCATAGTTCTTATCTTTTAGTCTAAAAATGATTAGGGATACCACAGGTGTAAATAAAAGTGTAATTAAAATCTTGCAGGATCTCATAATTTATTGAGAAATTTATTATTAAACTAGCAAACATGACAAGCAATTTTATCTTTGTCTTCTTAGATTTTGAGATGATAGTTACAATAACTTTTATTAAACACTGTCTATAAGCTACAGAAACATAATTATACATGTTAATGTATGCTGTGAAGAATTTATCTGTAGGTGTGGCCAACAAGTACATAAAAATGACTGAGATCTTATTATATCATTAATATCTCTCCAAGGCAGGATTCACAGTCAAATCATCAGGAGCAGAGTAGCAGCTCTTTTTCCCTTTTCAGTGTCTTCTCAGACTCAGTTTTATAAAGCTGTAGAAAAACAAGCTAACCTTGAAGCAAAGATAATTATTTTTAGGGTTTGCTAAGAGTGTTGCTCTTTTAGCAAATACTGCTACACCTCCTATTCTTTGATAACTGCTGCTATTTGCTGCCATTATGGTTTGTCTTTCTCAGTCACATGTTCTTTGTAGTAACACAAGTTCTTATACTTACAAATTAAGAATCAAATTTAGCATCCCTGCTAACTGCCAGATTTTCTCTCTTCCTATAAGATCCATACACTTGATAATATTTGACTCTGTTCAACTAATAGTTAAACAGTAGTAGTGCAGCTTTTCCAAGTTATCAAACAACTGAAGTGAGCATGGAGAAGATAAAGAAATCACCGTAATTACTATAATAATTTATGTATGTATGCATATATATGGTATATGTGTGTCTGTAGACACATATGTATACATATATATGAGAGAGAGAGAGAGTGCACCCTGTTAGGTGTGCAAATTTTTCTCAAGTATATTCTAACTACCTGTGGTTTGAACAATGTTTTCTTCCCAGGAAACTTCTATGCCTTCAAATATTCTTTTTAATTCCTGGCAGATTTCAGCCTTAAAGTTCAGATTTTATATCTGTCTCAGACTCTGCTGGACTCCCAGGCTTAAAATTTTGATGTGACTGTCATCTAAGCAGCAGCTGTTAATGCCTGCCGGGTTCTTATTAAGGGTTTTGTAATTGGTGGCATTAACATCTATGGATTCCAGCAATATAAAACTTGATGGCCAAAGGATCATTTTGCACCCAGAGTGAAATATCACCTTTTTGATTGACCTAGTTTTGGAGGTAGAAATTTCCAAGATGATTTCTTGGAGGTGATTTTCTTATACATTGGACTGTCAAACAAAGACTTGGGAGGTAAAGCATACATGAAAACATACTTACCACCGAAGTGTTTAAGCTGGACATAACAGGGCTGTGGACAGCCATGCATTTATTATATGGTTGTTTGCAAGCTGACATCAGTAACAACACTTCCTTGGGATCTGTTGCAACCTTGACATCAGACAGTCCTTTTGCCCAAGCTGATGAACCCACCAACCACAAGAATGAAAAGACCACAGTGACGATGAAGTCCTACAGAAACAAGCAGAAGATAAAACAGTAGGAAAAAATGTGAGTTCTGGAAACAAAATTACTATTATTATTCTTTTGTGATAGGGCCCGTGTGCTGACCAGAGAGAGAAAGAGGGGGAATGAGAGAGGGAAAGTGAAAAATTACTCCCCACGGGGGATAGCCTTACCACAATCCCTTCTCCACATCTCTTGGAATTTTGGGCACATAATGCACATATGGTTAGTGTGATTTTCAAGCTGCCAGGTCTGGTACTTAAACCTCAAAGCTGGCCGTGTGGGTTCTAGTGCCTTAACCTCCACTCTACCTGCTGACCCTTTGATTTGTTTTTATAGCTTCTTGGTTTGCCTTTGGGAAAACTCCCAAGATCCCATGCATTGGCACCAGTGAAAACATGAAAAAAAAAAAAAAAGAAAATTTTATATTTATATAAAATAAATAGTAATAGTAACATACATTGAATGCTTACTATGTCTCAGGATTGATGCTAAAGACTTTATAACTTTCATTTAATTGTTCCTACAGCATCTCTGTAAGGAGTTACTGTATTTGTCCTTTGTTAAAGGTTCTTGGCCATATTAATTCATTCATCCATTAGTTCATGTAACAAATCTATGCATTATCTATTATATGCCTGGGATTGTGTTAAGTAAGAGACGATAATAGCTATGTTTTGGGATCAAAGGGCGGTGAGCAGTAACACAGTTGTATCCACATGTGAAAGGTCCTGGGCTTGCATCCCGGGACCTTCCTGAGTGTCCTGGGTGCATCACACATGCCTGTGATTTAGGCTGGTTGAGGGTGGGTCTCAGTGTGAAGACACTGTCGGGGATATCTGTCTGTCTCTCTCTCTTTTTCTCTCTCTCATGGAAAGAATAAATGCATTCACCCAAAAATAAAGCTGTGTTTGAATGCTTATTATGGGTGAAAAGTTTTATATAAACCTATCCTTTTGGTAATTATGTTAGGCAATTTAAAAGATGAGGAAACTGAGGCCCAGAGATAGGAGATAACACAAAGAAAATGGCAGAACAGGAATTCAAATGAAGGTCTGTCTGCTTCTGAAAACCATGTGTTAAATGCGTAGGGGAGAGAATCTTCTTTGTTCATATTAAATATAATTTCTTTATAAAGGGAGGACTATTTTAGATAATATCTCTTAACTTTTCCGGTGCATAGGGGACTGTTTTAATATCTTCTCTCATGTCTTAGCAGGGTTGGCTGTCTAAAACTTAAGCAGATCATGTTGTTTTGTTTTGTTTTGTTTTTGCTTTTTTTGGGGGGGTGGGGAGAGGTTTTTGCTATAGGGTGTGTATGCTTGCCGGAATGACAGAGAGTGACAGAGAGACAGAAAGCGAGAAATTACCTTCCGGGGGCATGGCCACCACAATCTTTTCTCCTCTTCTCTTCTGAGGATCCTGGGCACGTACGCACATGTGTCTGGCAAGAGTGTAAGCCTTCAGGTCCAGGACTCAAACTGTGGTCAACTACATGGGAGTCCAGCGACATAGCCTTTATTCTAGCTGCTGGTCCCAAGAAAATCATGTTTTAACATAGTAGGACAAATTTTCAGATTAACGTGCAGTGATTAAAAAAAAAAAAATTGTTCTTTGGGACCAGCAGTTAGTGTAATGGCTATATCGCTGGACTCCCATGTGGTCGACCGTGGTTCGAGTCCCGGATCCAGTGGCTTAAAACTCATGCTGGGCACGTGTGCGTGTGTGCCCAAGATCCCGAGAAGAGAATGGAGGAGAAGGGATTGTGGGGTGGCATCCCCCCTGGGGGGTGATTGCTCACTTTGTCTCTCAGTCTCTCTCTGTCTGTCTGGCGAGCACATGTGCCCTATAACAAAAACCTCTCCAAAAAGAAAAAAAAATTGTTGTACCTAAAATAATCCAAATACTAACTTGGAAAGAAAAATAGTAAATTGAATTTGCCAACCAGAAATAGGCTGCTCTTTTATTCTTAGTAAGTACCTTTTCAAGTAGAAAGCTTGCCTTGTGTTGCTTTCCTACCCAGGAGCATGGTATGCTGACGTACTCTGGTTACCCTACGCCCATAGCATGACTGAAATACTTTCATCAGGATCTCAACATCTACACTGGGGAAACTCTTACACTCTGAAGATGCTATTGTGCCTGACATTTGTTAGGTACAAGCTTTGTGGAGAACTTTCTGGAGAGTTTCACTGCTAAGAGTGCCTGAGCCTTCTGAGTAATAGTCTCTTTTTATCTAGTGGGTGGTATGAGTTATGTAAATCACCAGTTTACCACTGTTTTCATGCTGGCTCTAGAAAATTTAAGACCCATTTGTAACCCATTCTTAGGATTTTTATGGCATGAATATGTTAATCTTTTCCCCTATGTTATTTTACATAGCCGTCTTTTTTTCCACCCATTTTCATTTTCAGTTAATGTCACCTTCATTTTTAAATATCCTGTAACACATGATAAATCCCTTATGAAATGAGGTGGAGGTATAAATAATCAGGGGCCGGCAGGTGGCATGGTGGTTTAGGGCAGTGGACTCCCACGTGCCTAACTGCAGTTCGAGTCCCAGACCTGGTTGCTTGCTTTTGCTCTCTCGCTCTCTCACTCTGTAACTCTCTGGTCAAATTAAAATAAATAAATAAAGTTAAATAAAATAATTCTTTAAAAAACAAGCAAAAAGTGTATTTATAGCTGTTTCAATATTAATAATAACATTTAGAATAAAGTAATTCAAATATTTTTATTTGAATCAGAAATGAAAGGAATGGTTACAAATAAGTAGAGCTTAACTGTGTCAAATCACAGCCTTCTGTTCTTATTCAGTCTGATTCCTTATTTCATTCATTAATTCATACATCAATCCAACTAGTAATTTTTGAGTAATATGCAAAGTATTGAGGAAGGCTTATGTGTTATAAAAATAGGAAACTTACTCTCTTGAAAATACATATTTGTGAAGACCCACAGTTGCCTTATAATTCCAACTACAGGATTCTTATTGTCATTATTTATACTCATCATAACTAGAAATAAACTTTTTAAAGTTTGGATGGGGGAACACTTAAAGAAAAAAGTCATGTGAAGACCTTTGAATTGAAAATTGAAGAAAACCATGTAAAAACTTTTATTCTTACTTGTTCAAATAATAATAATCTTTATCATCCCTAATATTTATTAAACACGTAATATGTGCCAAATATTATTCCAAGTGAGTGTATTAACTCACTTAATCCTGGCAACAATGCTATGAAATAGATGGTAATCCTGTTTCTATTTTACAGTTGAGGAAACTATGGCATGAAGAGGTTAAATAACTTGTTTGAAGTCATGAGTTGAAAGTAGAGGAACCAGGATTCTAAGCCTGTCCCTCTACCTCCCCAGGGCCATGTACTTATTCCATTCTGCCTCTCCTATCTGCATCTTGAAATGCTGGGCTTCCTATTTAAAGGAAGTATTTTTTTAAAAAATTGTATTTGAAGTCCTACTGAATCTAAAAAGTTGTTTAAAAATTGGGTTTGAGGTTCTACATAATTTAAATATAAAAAATAGCAATAAATTATTTTCTACAAATAAACTTCTGTACACATGTGTATACATGCCCAAAATACCAAGAGGAGAATGGAATAGAAAGGATTGAGGTGTGGTAGGGGTGCTTTCTCACTTTCCCTCTCTCCTTCAGTCTCTTCCTTGCAAGCGCATGAGCCATCTAACAAATTTTTTTAAAAAGCCGTTCATGTTTGTATATATAACATCGTATAAGAATTTACCAAATGATAATGGTAGGATTGGAGATCAATTTTAATGAGTTTTATGTAATTTTTGTGTATCTTAAAATTAATTTAATAATTAGAACAACTTAAAACAATGTGACACTGATTGATTGTACCAATGGCTCTCACAGACAGAATTTCAAAGGTTTAGTTTGTCCTTATAAGTGCATCAACATTTATAATTAGACCGAATAGTAAGTATTGTTAGAATTGAGAGACTTTTGCATTAGAGGGTTCCAGAAAGTAGCCTCAAGCCAGGTTTTTGTATAACTAAGCAGAGTACGGACATGAGCAGACTATGTCAAAATCCTACCTGAAGAATATATTAGCCTAGCGACCAGCAGTTAGCATAATGGCTATGTCTCTGGACTCCCACATAGCCGACCGCAGTTCACATCCCAGACCTGGTGGCTTAAAACTCACGCTGGGCGCGTGTGCGTGTGTGCCCAAGATCCTGAGAGGAGAATGGAGGAGAAGGGATTGTGGCGTGGTCAACCCCCAGAGGGTGATTTCTTGCTTTCTGTCTCTCTGTCTCTGTCTGGTGAGTGCATGCGCCCTATAGCAAAAACCTCTTAAAAGAAAAAAAAAAGAATGTATTAGCCTAAATTTTGGTATATTTTGGCTTTAGGTGTGAACCTGAGCCTGATGCTCCCTTACAGAAAGTGTGACATGAGTCCTCACTAACCAAACCCAACCAGAATCTAGAGGGCAGGGACCCCACTGATGTGATCCATGCAGATCACCTCCTGGCATAGAGCGTGTTGTGGATGGGCAGATATTAAGCCAGAAGTTGTCTTGAACTAGTGGTTGTCTTAGAAGTGGCTGCAACACCCACTGCCCATGCTTACTGAATTCTTTCTGTATGCCAGGTGCAGTTATCATTGGCATCTTGAAACAGGTACTTATGTTAGTCTCATTTTACTTATGAGGAAACTGACCACAGCCAAGTTAAACACTTATAATTAGTGGCTGGCATGACTGCTATAACATATCATCAGTTTCCTGAAACTTTTGGGGGAAAGATGCATTTTGGTATATCTTATGTAGGTAATTACTTTGATGTTCTGTAAATTTTAGTCTGATTTTTACTACCTAACCAATTTTATTTTCTGTATTCTTGTTTAATATTTCTTTTAAAAGAAATTACAGTTTTTGCATAAATAAGGTTTATCTTAGAAAGAAATTATATGTGTACTATAAATAGTAAACTAATACAACATTCTCTAAATAAAGAACTCTGCA